AAAAAAAAAAAAAAAAAAAAAAAGAGCCGGTAAGTAGTGGAGTCTGACCTTGAACCATGGTGAATGCACCATCTTGCAAACTCACATTGTCCAACTTTGGCTATAAAAATTTATTTTAAAAGGCCAAGCATGAATACTATTTTTTAATTGCTATATCCTAGTCACATATAACTTGGGGTCCCTGTGACATTTTGACACACGTATATAATGTATATGAATCTGAGCCCTTTCCTTTCTGATGAACTCCACCGTGTGAGGGAATTGTGCTTGAGAGGTTAACAGACTTGCCCCAAGTCACACAGCTGGAAATTGACTGAAGAGGGTAGAGAACCAGGCCTGCTCCCATCTCAGTAGGTTCTGTCTCTCATCAGTGCTGAAAAGGAGCCCCTGCCCTGCCCCCAGCAGCCTTGACCACTGTTCTTCCTGAAATACCATCAGCTCAGGCACATCTTTGGTCCCCAAAGTGCAAACTATGGCATTGTTCTGTCATCTCGCAGCCTCTCCCTATGTTCCAGTCCTTAAAATGTGTGAACCCTGGCTCGGCGCCTGTGGCTCAAGCAGCTAACATACACCTAAGGTGTATGTACCAGCCACATACACCTAAGGTAGGGGATTCGAATCCAGCCCGGCCCGCCAAACAATGACAGCTGCTACCAAAAAATGGCTGGGCATTGTGGCGGGCACCTGTGGTCCCAGCTACTTGGGAGGCTGAAGCAGGAGACTCGCTTGAGCCCAGGAGTTAGAGGTTGCTGTGAGCTGTGATGCCACAGCACTCTACCCAGGGTGACAGCTTGAGGCTCTGTCTCAAAAAAAAAAAGTGTGAACCCTAATGAAGACAAGAGCATGGTTGTGAGTCAGATCAAAAGGAAGATTTGGGGGAGGCTCTTCGCCAGGGGGCTTGGACCATGGGGGAAGCTCTCTGCTGTGTCTCACCTGTTACTCTCAGGAGACCAAGGAGGGAAAGAGACAGCAGTGGGCAGCTTGCATTTCCCAACCAGGTATAAGCCTTGCCTTAGCACGTCTCTCAGAGGAAGGGGTCCTGTGCATTAATCTCTTTTTCTTGACACTTCAAGTCAATTTAGATCCAATTTAGATCAAAGTGTACTCTAGGAGATTTAAAGACTTGTTTGCTGAGGAACAGGGTCAAGGGAGGGAGTGGTTAACCTTGAATAGCTTGTGGCCTTGTTGGGAAAATCATACTTGCCTGTGTGAAATAATTCTGACAGTACCAAACATTGTAAGGCAGGATCCAACCAACTTCCAAGATGGATGTATGGTCCTTGGATAAGATTTTGCCAGGAATTGTGTCTTTCATAGCCTAAAGTAATGTCCTTATTTTAAAAAAGAAGAAGAAATCTTTTTATTTTTATTTACTTATTTTTTTGAGACAGAGTCTCACTTTGTCACCCTCGGTATTGCTAGGGAGTGTTTTTTTTTTTTTTTTTGAGACAGAGCCTCAAGCTGTCCCCCTGGGTAGAGTGCCATGGCTTCACTGCTCACAGCAACCTCCAACTCCTGGGCT